ATGGAGGAACTGGTGGGGCTGTGTGAAGGCTCCTCCGGGAAGCCGGTGACTCTGCAAGAGCTGTGGGGTCCATGTCCACGCATCCGCCGGGGCGTCAGAGGTGAGAGCTCCGTCACCCCTTCCCACCCCCGTCCCCTTCCCCATGAAGTCCCCTTGGGGTGTCCCTGACCCTAGATCCAAGATCACTCTCTTCACTTTTGACTGTGTGCTGAGAACCTGACCATCCTTATTGTTAGGGGGCAGAGAAATCAGGGACCCCAGAAAGTGGCAGAGTTCAGGCCCAGGTGCTGATGCCCACAGCCAGAGAGGGCCAGCTTCTAGGCTGGGCTGACAGCCCGTGGCCAAGGGCATGCCTGGGGACCTGAAGTGCAGGTGGGCCCACAAGCCCTGGGGGCTGCACCAGGTCCTTCCTGCCCTTCACGGTTGTGTAGACCCTGATGGGATATCAATAAGAGGTGTAGTGTCAGGCCGCTTATTCTCCTCTGCCACCTTGACCAACCTTCTGTAAGGCCCCAGAAGTGGAGGGACAGACCAAAGACACCCACAGTGTCACTTTACTTCCTACATATCCTGCTCAGCCCCTTCCATGCGGCAGAGTCCCTCCTCTTCACCCCAGACTCCAGCTCCAGGCCCCTAGCTTGCCCTCCCTGCCCAGAGCCTGAGCAGCCCCCAGGGAAGGAGCTGTGACCCCAGTGTCCTGCCCAGGGGGCCTGGAGTGGCTGAAAAAGCGCCTGTTCCGCGTGGGTGAGGACTGGTACTTCCTGATGGCCCTCGGGGTGCTCATGGCTCTCATCAGCTACGCCATGAACTTCGCTATCGGGCGTGTGGTCAGAGGTGAGGCCTCCCCGGCATGGCATGCACACCCCCTCGGGGCAATAGGAATCCCGCATTAGGCTTGGGATGCCAGCTGGACAGCCAGGGGCAGCGGGGTGGGGCAGGGCTGTGGGTAGCCAGGCCTTGAGCTGGTGCTGGCTTTGTATCTCACCAGCTGTGTGACCCTGGCAAGGTTCCTTCCCCTCTCTGGGCCTCAGCCATCTCACCTGCACAATGGGGAAAAGAGCCTGATGCTTCTAGAAGCCTTAACTTCTGGCTACTGTCCCCATCTTTCTCCCCTCCCCCCATGCTGCCTGCTCAGTGGGGTTCTCACTTCTGGGCTGCCCTGGTGAGGCGTCACACTGTCTTACCAAGTCCCCACTAGGCCTCCTTTGGTCTTTCAGGGAACCAGGGTTGGGGAAGGCGCAATGACTGGCTACTGGACAGAGGGGAAACTGAGGCTCAGTCAAGTTCCTTAGCTAAAGTCCCACAAGTAGGAAGCTGGAAAAATGAGATATGGACCTAGGGACCAGGTTGCCCTCCCCTGACTGGGTGACTGTGGGCCCTTCCCTGGTCTGTAAGTGGGCACTGTAGTGTCTGTCCCCAGGGCTGTAGAGGCTCTGGGTGGCTCCCTGACAGCTGGGCATCCCCAGCGCACAAATGGCTGTACAGGGAAGTTGGGGACGGCCACCTGCTCCGGTATCTCTCCTGGACTGTGTACCCTGTGGCCCTCCTGTCCTTCTCCTCCGGCTTCTCACAGAGCATCACGCCCTTCTCTGGAGGTGAGTCATGGTCACCTGGTCTCTGGCCAGGCTGCGCTGTCCTGCAGTCCCCATGGGTCCAAATGTTTTCACATCCTGTGAGGCTTCTGAGGAGGGAGGACAAGAAACAGTGACATGCTATTGTTAGTGCTGAGGAAGCAGGCTTGGAAGAGGCAGGCCACCTACCCAGAGTTACACAGGAGAGGGACAGCAGGGGACCCGGATCATCGCTGCCTTGACTTGACTTCTGTAGCCTCCTCTAGGATAGAAAAAAAATGGTGCTGGTTGGTCACCTGCGGGAACACAGTCCATGGTGTCAGGACTGGGCTGATGGGCCAGGAGGATCTCCCAAGTGTCGCTGGTGATACCCTGACAACCCTGGCTCCCTCCCCCTCGCTGCTGTAGCCTTCAAGGCCCCACTCAGACCCTCAACTATCTCTCTTGACAGCTGAAGTTACACATCCCGCTCACAGGGTGTGTGAGGTCCTGAGGATGGTGCCAGAGAGTGCTGTGTGCATTGTGGCACTAAGTTTAGTCTGTGCTGGGTATGGGAAGCAGAAGCAGGAGAATGACTGCCAGTTCCAGGCTATCCTGGGGTGCACAGTGAGACCTTGTTGAGAGAGAGAGCCAGCCATACCACCCTGAACGCACCTGATGCCTCTGATCTTGCTAAGCAGGGTTAGGATCGGTTAGTACTTGGATGAGGAGAGAGAGAGAGAGAGAGAGAGAGAGAGAGAGAGAGAGAGAGAGAGAGGGAGAGAGAGAGGGAGAGAGAAGAGAACCTTGTCTTTACCTTGCCCCAGGGTCTGGACTCCCAGAGCTGAAGACCATGCTGTCCGGTGTGGTCCTGGAGGATTACCTAGACATCAAGAACTTTGGGGCGAAGGTGGTGGGCCTCTCCTGCACCCTGGCAACAGGCAGTACCATATTCCTAGGCAAAGTGGTAAGAACAAGGAGAACTACCTGCCTTCCTTCTTTTCCTCCATGCCTCTGAAGCACAGCTCAGCTCAGTCCCCAAGTGTGACAAGATGCATCTCAGCATGGCCCTGGGGTTTGTGGTTCGCCTACTACATGGGTGTGAATGAGGAGGCCACTTTGGCTTTAGGCCAGGCTTGTGGCTCCCATTCCCTGGGGCCTTAAGGAGGAAGAGGAGCAACAGGGGGCGGGGGCTCAGTTTCCCCAGGACGTGGACCCTCGGTATCAATGATGCTCTCTCCCGCCCCCTGCAGGGCCCCTTCGTGCACCTGAGTGTGATGATTGCTGCTTACCTGGGCCGTGTGCGCACTAAGACCATCGGGGAATCTGAGGTGAGGTGTACAAGAAAGAGCCCCTTTGAGACTAGAAGGGGAACGGAGCTGGTTCTGAACCCAGAGTTCTGTGTTCCCCAGAACAAGGCCAAGGAAATTGAAATGCTGGCGGCTGCAGCTGCGGTGGGCGTGGCCACAGTCTTCGCAGCCCCCTTCAGTGGTGAGAGCTCCCGCACCCCCTCCACCTTGTAGCTCCCTCGGGCCTCGAACTCCCTGGCATGCCCAGGCGCCCTTCTCCCCCACGAGCTGGCTCCTGATCCTGGCATGTGCACAGCCATGTGTACACCCACCGCAGGGTGGGTGGGGTGGGGTATCCAGGCCTGTAGACCCCCTTTGAACTCCTGTGGGTTTGAAGACTAACCCCCACCCTGTGGCCCTGGCCAGTGGAGTTCTCTACTCTGAGCCTGGTTCTAGGGCTGGGAGACAGAAATCCTCACAGTCCCACCAGATAGGTGGGGGTGGGGACATGTGGGCCTTCTTGGCTTGAGCCAAGGACAAAGGCGATAGAGTCTTTGGCTGTCCAGGTATCGAGACAGCAGGTCTGGGAGGGTCAGGGAGAATGTGACCCCCACATCCTGCAGCCAGGGGATAGGGGTCCTTCTGAGCTGTGTGTCCCCTAGGTGTTCTGTTCAGCATTGAGGTCATGTCCTCTCACTTCTCCGTCTGGAATTACTGGAGGGGCTTCTTCGCTGCCACCTGCGGGGCCTTCATGTTCCGCCTCCTGGCGGTCTTCAACAGTGAGCAGGGTGAGCCCCGAATGGGGACCTCGTCTCTATCCTCCTTTTCTGTGACCCCACACCCCATCATCTTCTCCTTCCCCTCTCCACCCACCCTTCCTTCCCCTTTTTCCTCCTCCACCACCTTGGTTTCTGGAGCATCTGGCCATAAAGTCTAGCCCTGGGTTTGAATGCTTACCTGTACTAAGAAAACTTGAGAGTGGAGAAAGAGAGAGAGAGAGAGAGAGAGAGAGAGAGAACTTGTGTACATGTGCACACCTATATGTTTGTGAATCAATTTGCTTGTTATGGTTTTGGGTAACACTGGAGGGATGTTCTCTCTGAACAGTATACACAAAACAGTCAAAGTTGGAAGATACTGAAAAGTTCCTCTTGGCAGAAGGAAGTGTGACAGGACAGGACCGGAGACCTCTCGATTCTCCACGAGGTCTTTGAGGGGACACTATAAGTGACTCCTTTGGACCTTGATCTTTTAGCTATTCTGTCCCAAAACAGGATCTAGTGGATGAAGACCTGGTCCATTCTTGGTCACCGAATTGTTACCAGAGCACACACATAACATATACTCTGTGCCCAAACACTCCCCCACCTCAAGAGAAAATAACATGATAGATACAGAAATGGAAAAATGAATTGACTTATATTTTTGGTCAAAACTACAGAAGGGCCACAACTCAGGGAGAAGCTGAGACAGGCCTGAGGACACATCGAGAGTTCCTGCTACCAAGTCTCTTTGTCAGATGCTGAGTTTTCTTGGGGATTTTTCTTTTCTTTTTTTCTTTTTTTTTTTTTTTTTTTCCTTTTTGGTTTTTCGAGACAGGGTTTCTCTGTGTAGCTTTGGAACCTGTCCTGGAATTTGCTCTGTAGACCAGGCTGACCTTGAATTCAGAGAGACCTAACTGGGATTAAAAATGTGTGTCACCACCACCCAGCCCTTCTTGGGGAATCTTAGTTACTAGACCTTCCTCCTTGCTGGACAGAAGGGGACTGACAGTGTGGGTTGGGAGAAAGGCTCTAAGGGGAGAAAGCTAAGGCTGGCTGAATGGTGGGCTCAGGTTGTCAGATCCTCAAAGCCAGAGACATTTGATCTCGGGGTGTTGTGCTACCTCCCTTGTATGAGGTATTCTGGGAGACACTTTGGGTGGGGAGGAGTGTGACCTCAAACCCCCCACTCCCACCCTCCCCTAGAGACCATCACCTCCATCTACAAGACCAGTTTCCGAGTAGATGTACCCTTTGACCTGCCTGAAATCTTCTTCTTTGTGGCCCTGGGGTAAGTGGAGTCTCAGGGCCTGACAGCCCAACTGGGCTCCCCCAAGCATGAACTGGGGCAGCTCTGGATTCACCCTCACCGCCACCTCCAGGGCCATCTGCGGTGTCCTGAGCTGCGCCTACCTATTCTGTCAGCGGAATTTTCTCCGCTTCATCAAGACAAATCCGTATACCTCCAAACTGCTGGCTACCAGGTGGGTGAAGGCCTGCAGGGAGGACCCACTCCCCCCTCCATAGAAAGCCCCCCCCCCCACACCGGAGTTAGTATCTTACCCATATGTCCCTTAAGTACTTTCTACGGAACACCTCACTCACGGTGTCCCGTATCCTCACCAATACCCACCCTGCCAAGTCTCACATCTCTTACCCCACTTACTGGAAACCAGTCCCATCAGGCATGGCCTCCTCTCCTCCCTGAACCTCCTGCCTCCCATCTTGGAGTTCCTTTTCCCCCCTCCTGACCTCACAAGGCCGACCCCCGCCCTGGCCTGGCTAGTCTGTCTCCCTCTGCCCCAAATCCTCACTCTGCCCTCCCCCTTGTCACACCACTTCTCCGGGCCTCCTCCACTCATTTCTGGAGGGGTCTGTCAGTATCTCTGCCCCTGCCCTCCCCCAAAGTTCTTTCCCCATTGTGACCCCTGGTGTTGTGGGCTTTCCTCTGATAAGGAGCTGCGATGCTCCCCCACATTGGGGGGGCGGAAGAGGGGAGGCAAACTGGAACTCCCTTTCTCTCCCAGCAAGCCCTTGTACGCAGCTCTGGCCTCCCTGATCCTGGCCTCCATCACCTATCCGCCTGGTGTGGGCCGCTTCATGGCTTCCCGGGTAAGGGGCACTGAGCTGGGGGGGGTGGGGGGGTGAGCCCCATTTGGTATCTCCTCTGTGTACATCATCTCATTCATCCCCCACAACTCTCCAAGGAAGATCCCTACGGGTCATTTTTCAGAGGACGAGGTTGTAGCTCAGCAATGGCAGAGCCCTGTCCTCAGGGTCCTCAGCTAGGAAGGGGCAGAGTAGTTGAGGCTCAGGTGGGTGAGGGGACAGATGGGGACATGCTGATCCACCACTCCCTCTGTCCCAGCTGTCCATGGCGGAGCATTTGCACTCTCTGTTTGACAACAACTCGTGGGCATTGATGACCCGGAACTCATCCCCACCCTGGCCAGAGGAGCCAGATCCCCAGAACCTGTGGTTTGAATGGTACCACCCACAGTTCACCATCTTTGGGACTCTGGCCTTCTTCCTGGTCATGAAGGTGGGTCCCTTCTGTCTGCAGATCCGGGGTAGAATGGGGCTGATTCCACAGCTGGACCCTGGAGCTCTGTCCACTTCCAACCAGGTCCCTGGTCTGAGCCTGACTCATTATGCTCTTATACAAGTCACATCGGCTTCCCCAACCTCAGATTCCTCTTCTATTTTTAACTCACTTTCTTTATCTTTTCCATGAAGTAGGGCTGAGGAGATGTCTCAGTTAATAGAGTGTTGGCCTCAAAAGTGTGAGGCCCTGAGGCCCACTCTTGGCGCCCACATAAAAAGGTGGACGTAAGCCGGGCGGTGGTGGCGCACGCCTTTAATCCCAGCACTCGGGAGGCAGAGGCAGGCGGATCTCTGTGAGTTCGAGGCCAGCCTGGGCTACCAAGTGAGTCCCAGGAAAGGCGCAAAGCTACACAGAGAAACCCTGTCTCGAAAAACCAAAAAAAAAAAAAAAAAAAAAAAAAAAAAAAAAAAAAAAAAGGTGGACGTGGTGGCACACCTCTAATCCCAGCACTGGAGACGTGGGCTCTGGGGGGATCCAAGGGATCCTTGTTGATTATCTGCCTAGCCTGATGGATAAACTCCAGGCCAATGAGAGACTCCATCTCAAAAGAGATGAGCAGCTTTCTGTGCATGACATCTGCGCTTGTCCTCTGACCTCCACGTATATACACACATACAAATTTGCACACACGTTTTAAAAAAAGAAGAGGCGATGGGGTAGTTACTCTTTCTACCCAAAAGGCAGGCTAAGGGTGAGAAAGTGAACAACTTAGCACGTGCCAAGCACACAGTGGGCACTTTACTAGGGCTTGGTTACTTCGCCTGTTTGATGTCTGTAACTCCAGACGGTGCTTCAGGCATCGTTTCCTCTGGGAACTTTCCACTTCCATCCAGTTCCTCCCTTGTTCACTCCTGACCCTATTGCCTGTAACTCCTGCCCTCTGGTCCCTTCTCCTGTCCCTGGCACAGTTCTGGATGCTGATTCTGGCCACCACGATACCCATGCCTGCTGGGTACTTCATGCCCATATTCATCATTGGTGAGTCTGAATTCCAGGGATTCAGGGGCATGGGGCATAACCGTGCTTCCCGGACACCATCTTTCTCCCAGGGTGGTACTGAATATGGGGCAGGGTTCGAGGGTCTTGGGGGTCAGGTCAGCCTGACTGCCCCTTCACCCTGAGTCTGTGGCAGGAGCTGCCATCGGGCGCCTCTTAGGAGAGGCCCTGTCTATCGCCTTCCCAGAGGGCATCGTGGCTGGAGGTGAGATCAACCCCATCATGCCTGGAGGCTATGCTCTGGCAGGTGAGTGGACCTGGTCTCAGCAAGTAGGAAGACCCTGTGGGCTCGAATATGGCTGAAGGGGCTAATGTTTGTCTACAGCATAGAGTGAACAATACAATGTGCCTCCCACTCCCCGGGCCCCATCATTCTCTGAACCTCCCAGCTTTCTCTTAGCTCTGTCTCCGCCCCCCCCCCCCCCATTCCCTACACCCTCTGTATCCCTTTATTCTTGCCATGCCCAGGCATTTCTAGCAGTTTCCAGTATGTGCCCTCTGGATATTGCTGACACTAGCCACGGTCACACTATGCCCACCTTGCCCTCTGGGTGAGCCTGGCTCCTGGCCTGAGTCGCCCACCATGGTTCCATTCCTGCAGGTGCTGCTGCCTTCTCGGGGGCAGTGACCCACACCATCTCCACGGCGCTGTTGGCCTTTGAGCTGACTGGCCAGATTGTTCATGCTCTGCCCGTGCTGATGGCAGTGCTGGCGGCCAACGCTGTCTCCCAGAACTGTCAGCCCTCTTTCTATGATGGTACCATCATGGCCAAGAAACTGCCATACCTGCCATGGATTCGTGGCCGCAAGATTGGGTGAGCCTCGGGTTGGCTAATGGGGTGTCCAGGATAGTCTGGGAGTTAAGGGACCCCCCAAAAAAATCAATTCAGTTGTTCTCAGGCCACTCTCTGGCCATCAATCTCCTCAGAGCCTCATGTGCTTGGAGAGGAAGCCGGGGTTCAGACAACTGTCTGTCTTGCTTCAGCTCACATGGAGCTTGAACACTGCTAAGCGAGGCCTCTCTCCTCCCTCTCTTGCTCCTGCTCTCCAAGCTGGGTGATCAGGAGCTGGGATGCAGATGGGGTTGGAGGCCCTCCCACCACCAGACTGCAGCCAGGGTCCCAAAGCAGCAGGGCGAGAGGCTCAAGGTCCTTTGTGTCCTGGTTCGAGCTCTAAGCTCATGCAAGCTGCCGTCCAGCTCCAAACCCGGTACCTCGGCTGACACGTGGGTGTGACTTTTTTCACGTTCTCAAAAACTAAAATTCTCTCAGGTGTGAAAAGCCAACAAAACCGAAAGAAATTCTCTGGAGCAGAATTCTGCTAAGTGATACAGCCCCCAGTAAAGCTAGTGCTGGCAGCTGAGGGTACAGAATGTGCCCAGTAGGAAGCCGTCTCTATGCTTCTTCCTGGTACACGATCCTACCTTTCACTCACTCTAGGAGCCCTGACATTTTGCATGCAGAAACCAAAAGGATTTGTTGCTTTTCTCCTTGGTGCAATAAAACACCTGAGAAAATCAAGTTCATGAAGGAAGGCTTTATTCCGGCTCACAGTTTGAGAGTGCAGTCCATCATAGCGGGGAAGGCATGGCGGCAGGAATGTGAGACACATCTGGGAAACAGAGAGAGATGGTCGCTGGTGCTCAGCTCACTTTTTCTTTTGTATTAAGTTCAGGACCATCGCTCATGGGACAGTTCTGCCCACATTTAGGGTAGGTCTTCCTACCTCAGCTGACACCTTTTTTGACCTCTTTTGCTGAGGCCTCGTGATTCTAGATCTTGTTAGGTTGAAAATAAATATTATCACACTTGGGTCCTTCCCAGCAAGGTTCCCTGCCTCTTCCCGAAGACTAGCACTGCCACGCAGGGTCTGATGCATTCCTCCCTCTGCCCACAGTTCCTACCCTGTGACTGTGGAACACTTCATGAACTGTACCCTCACCACACTGGCCAAGGACATGCCCCTGGAGGAGGTAGTCAAGGCTGTGACCTCCACAGATGTGGCTCAGTACCCCTTGGTGGAAACCAGAGGTACTCAGCTGGGATGGGGGAGGATGCCTGGGAGGATGGGTGGGGATTCCCTCTGAGTGTAAGGGCAGCAAAGGGTAAGCAGGGAATTGGATCTGCCGCTGAATCTAGGCTCTGCCATGTGACCTGGGAAAAGTCACTTAGCTTCTCTTGTGCTTTCGTTTATTCATGGATGAAATGGACATAATAACCATGCTACCTTCTAGGTTTGTGTCATGTTTAGAGATGAGAAGGTGCTTGTAAAGCAGCCTAGAAACGGCTCCCAGGATTCTAGTCAAAGATGATGCAGCCATTCAAGCTGCCAAATAGCCATGTCTAAAATTGAATTTCTGTAGACAGGACGGAACCCCTCTGTGCCTCTCAGCCTGTGCTTCGTCTGTAAATGGGTGATAAGTGTCCTAAGAGGCAAGAAATTCTGTAAATTTCCTCTGAGACATAAGAACACCCAGCATGAGGTTGAAGAGAGAGCACCTTGGTTAAGAGCATTGCTGTCCATGAAGGACCTGACCTTGGTTCCCAGCACTCTCGTGGCAACTTACATTTGTGCTTAACTCTAGTTCTGGGAACTCTGGCACCCTCTTCTGGCCTCTGTGGGGACCAGGCACACAGTATACACAGTGGATATATATACATGCATACACACATATATATATGTATATATATGCAAAACACTCATGCACATAAAATAAAAATAAATAAGTCTTTAAAACAAGCACCCAGCATATTCTTGGCACATCATAGGTGCTAAGATAATGTGACTTCTGCATTCATAACGTGTCACTCCCTCTACATTTCCTAGAGTCTCAGACCCTGGTGGGCATTGTGGAAAGGACTCACTTGGTGCAAGCCCTCCAGACTGAGCCAGCTTCCTGGGCCCCAGGCCAACAGGTGGGTTCACCTGCCAGGTGTGGGGACAGGGTGGGGGTGTGAGCAGGGCTATGAAGGAAGAGAGGAGTTTAGAGAGCAGGAGCCTGGGAACTGTAGGCTGGCTCAGGTCTCCATTATCTTTCCCCCGATTCTCAGCGCCTTCTCCAGGACATCTTGGCTAGTGGCTGCCCCACACAGCCAGTGACCCTGCAATTGTCCCCAGAGACCTCCCTGTATCAGGTAAGGGAGAATTAGAAAAAGTGGGTGGAGAGGGAGGAACTGACCGGGGAATTCGGGCTCCACCTCCTCCCACTGAGCAGTGTTTTACACACACACACACACACACACATACACGCGCGCGCACACGCACGCACACACACCACTCATGAACGCACACACACACATGCATACTTCTCACCTGCAGATGTGCACAGCAGCCCCAGCCCTTGAGTTCCTCACCACCAGGGTTGCTGAGGCAATGCAGAGGACACAGGGAAGTGAGAGAGCTTGGGAAACACATGCTTCTGGGTAGAAGCAGTGTTAGTAATAAGCATCCCATGGAGCTGGAGAGATGGCTCAGCTTTGGGAACACTGGCTGCTCTTCCAGAGGTCAAAGGTTCAATTCCCAACAACCACATGGCAGCTCACAGCTGTCTATAACTCCAGTCCTACTGGATTCAACACCCTCTTCTGGCCCCTAGGGGCACTGCACTCACGTGGTATGCAGGCATATATGCAGGCAAATACCCACACGCATAAAATTATTAAAAAAAAAAAAGCTGGGCGTGGTAGCAAATGCCTTTAATCCCAGCACTTAGGAGGCAGAGGCGGAGGCAGGAGGATCTCTGTGAGTTTGAGGCCAGCCTGGTCTACACAGCAAGTCTGAGACTGCCAGGACTATAGAGAGAGACCCTTTCTGAAAACACAACAAAACAATGTGTATATATATATATTTTAAATTTAAGCATCACACAGGGATCCTAATTTGAGGAGCTTCCCCTTCATCCTTTGTGGCAGCTGGTAGAGTACCTAGCTTCTCAGAGCAGGCACTTGTGTGGGGGTGGGGAGTGAAGCAAACTAGGGACCTGGCTATGGCCCCAAGTTTTCTGCCAGGGCATGACGCCCTAGAGGCTCGGTAACGTGGACCAAAGGATTCCTTCTAGCTGAAGCCTTGCTTCTTGCATGGAGTCTGGCTACCACCTAGTGGTCAGACTAGACATTGCAGGCTGGACTCATTTTTCCACTCACCTGGCACAGAGAAGGGTAGGTGGGGACAGGGGTGTTCCCTGACTCCATCATTTCCTGTCAACTTCCCCTCCAGACACACAGCCTCTTTGAGCTGCTGACCCTTCAGACGCTGTTCGTGACATCACGGGGCAGAGCTGTGGGCTCTGTGACCTGGGTAGAGGTACTAGGGTCGTGAGGGTGGGTAAAGCAGAGGTGGGGGTGGGGGGCACCAACATTCCCCCTTTCAAAGATTGGGAGCTATGCAGAACTCTCATGTACACTGCTCCTTGGATTACGGTGGCAACTGAGCCTGCCACTGTCTGGATTCGGTGTCCCCTATGTCATGGGGTAGGCGCCAGCTCTAAATCTACAGGCTGGGCATTGAGGGTGCTCTCGGTGATGGAGGCCAGAGCTGTCTCCGTCCCTTGTAACCCGCCCTCCTCCCCCTCAATCCCCTTTTCTCTGCTGTAGCTGAAGAAAGCGATTTCCACCTTGATCAACCCACCAGCCCCCAAGTGAGCCAACCTGGGGATTGGAAAAAGGACCCGGCTGCCTGCTTCCTGAGGCGGCTGCACAAAGCCCCACCCCTCTTCTCTCCCTACCCCACCCCTCCAGCCCAGCTCAGGCCCTCAGTGCAGCAGGCAGCTAGCTTTACCAGCCTGAACAGGGCTCCACATTCATTATGCCCCCCCCCCCCCCCGAGGGGACAAAGGAAAGAAAAAATTCTCACCCTGGTGGATGTGCCTTCTGAGATTATCTATTCCCCAGCAGTAACTCCTGAGAAAAATAAAGCTGAGGCCCAGAGCCACGGTTCACTCCTGTTATCCCTCCCTCAAGAGTATGCATTTGGCCCCTTGGGTTCTAGTGTTGGCCTAGGTTAAGCTTTTGGGGCATCTGGTGCCCACAAGGGCATCGTAGGCTGGGCCTGGGGCTCTTCAGCTTCCACACCTTAGCAGGGAGGTGGAGGGAAGAGAAGGTCCCTACTAGGTCTTATGACACTTGGCCTCACGTATAACAGGACCTTGGGGGTGAGGTTCTGCCTTCCAGACTCAGTTTCCCTGGCTGTGGTTCCGCTGGTAAAGTGGGGTCTCTGGGTGTGGCTTTTGGGGGACAAGAAGACACCCTGGGCCTCCTCCTTTGAGGCCTCTCAGGAGTTTGTGTGTTGGAGGTAAGAGTCCCCCCTAGCCCCTCAGACCCTCATCCAGGGCTCAACAACATGCCTTCCCCGGGAGACCAGGTCAACTTCATCCAGGATGAGCACACTACTTTAATGTCACCAGAGAACCCTGTGGGAGGTGAAGGGGAGGGGGAGGGGGAACGTGGGTTCTCTTGGCTGGGGTCACAGAGGAACCAGGTAAGAGGGGAGGGACACACAGACCCTCCAGAGACATCAGCGAGTTGAGGAATGGCTTGACCAGAAGAAACAGTCCCACCCTTCCACGGGACAGATGCACAGCGTGAGTGGGAAGGGGCTGAGCCCAAGTCAAGGCTGGCTCCCCGGGCCCCTCCAAATGACCCTCCCACTCTTTCCACGGTGTCCTCCCGGGGGCCTGTCAGCTCTCCTGGGGCCGGTTGCCCTGGTGTCTGCTTAGAGCCCAGGAGCAGGCCGAGGGCAGAGGCCCTGGAGAGGCCAAGCACACAAAGCAGGGGCTCCCACTGTTGAGGGCAGGTCCACGGAGGCACTGAGTGGTGCACAGGAATGATGGCTACCATCCCTGCCACATTCCACCCTGTGTTTGCCCCAAGGAGTCAAGAGATGCCCAGTGCCGGGCTAGCATTGGCCTCCCAGCAAGGTGTGCGGACACCGGACTGGCCAGCTCGCCTCAGCTGTAGAACACTTCATCCTCCTCTTCTGAGAGAGAGCCACTGTCCACGGAGGGCAGGGAGCCGTGCAAGCGGGCTCCACTGTCAGGCCCCTGAGCCGCTGGCAGCCGCTGCCGATGCTGCTGGGTGGGGCTAGGGGGCTCCTCCGGTGAGGGCCAGCCATCATCAAGGGTGAGGCCAGGGGAGCAGGCTAGGAGACTGTCGTCCTGTGAAGGACCACTCAGGAGGCTGTCCTGAAGGTAGATGCTCTCCAGGTCTAGAATACCAAAAAGGGGACACTGAGGAGAGATGGAATCCTACATCCTGTGTTCTACCTCCCTGGATGTGGGAGGCCAGGCAAGGGTCAGGAGCCCTGTAGGTCACTCACTGCTAAGCTGTGTGACCCCAGGCAGGTCTCCAAACCTCTCTGAGCTCAGTTGTCTCCCCATGACAGGGAGCAGAGTAGCCAAGAGCAGGGAGTGAGTCTTGGGATTATGGGTGCTCCTTCTGGTCCTCTGTCCCCTCCCCTCCTGGTGATAGGGAGAATCAAGTGAGGCATGTCAGTGTAAGCTTCTCCAGGAGCCAGGTTTGGGGAAGCAGTACCCACAGTGCACCTAGTGCCAGCTCAAGCCACACCACAGCCGGACTTTCCTTTTTGCTCAGGGCACTCCCTGGAAATGTGCAGGCCAGGACTGCCAGTCCCAGGTTACTGAGGAAGAAGCTAAGCCATGGAGAAGGGGGGTGGGGAGAGAAGGAGCCCACCTGAGAGACCTGGGCACCACCCTCAGCGCTCCTCTGCCCACCCTGCCTCGGTATCCCCGGCTGTACCTTGGAGCTGGAAGGCACCCTGGGTACTGTCCTCTGGCTGCAGTTCTTCGTCATCCAGGGAGGACCAGGCACTCAGAGTGGCCTCTGTGATGGCAAACTGCTCAGCGACACCTGAGGGTACAGCAAGATCGGGCTCCGTGATGGTGGGTGGGAAGGGGGCACTCCAGGCCTCCACAGGCCTCTCTGGACTGTGCCCTCTACCCAGGCGATGAAGAAAGCCACCTAGCACCCCACCCACCACCTTGTGCTCAGACCCGGCTTCACCCCTGTGGACCCCGCCTATGGCCTCCCTCCTGCACCCCTGCTCACCTGCAGCAAAGCGGGCTTCTCGTAGCTCGTCCGGGAGACAGCAATAATGTTCATCTTCTGCTGGGGACAGCCCCCAGCCTGACTGCTGGGCGCTCCAGCCTTTCCACTCGATGAGGTGGGCCACTCGGCCACGAGCCATGGCTGTGGGCTTTGTGATGTGGTCCTTGATGCTTTGTACCACCCCTGTGGGGTCATGGATGGCTGTCGGGTGACCATCCCAGTTCATGGCACCCCAAAACCTCAGACACCCCGTGTTCTGCTTCTCAACCGCCCCTGATCTATAGGCCCGCACCTCTCTGTTCCCTGTACCCATGACCAGGGGGAGCTTTGCCTCACACAACCCACATCCTGCCCTGTGCCCTCCCCAGGATTATGGCCCTACTTCACTTACATGTCTCACCTATTTGTATGCCCCGCCCTTCTCCCCAATGTCTTAGTTTCCAACCCAGTCACTCCTTTCTCACGCTGGCTGTGACCTTCAGTTCCTCTCAGACTCTGCACCCTCCACTCATGAATGGACAGTCCCAAGGGAGTTGCCCTGTGCCCCCAGCTCTGTGGAGTGAGACTCTGGTGCGGAGCACTCAGGGAGTGCTACCCGGAGGAAGAGGCCTGGAGCTGGGCTCTGAAGGCCTACTGTGATGGGAGAGATGGGAGCCAGGCTGTTTCATAGGTCAGATGGGATTAAAGGCACAGAAAAGCTGGCATAATACCAGTACAATCAAGGGTGACGCAGGGACAAGAGACTGGGAGCCCTGCAGGGGCCAGACTGAGGCTGGAGGGCCAGGGTGACAGCTCTGTTGTCCGCCCAGCAATGGGCAGTGATATCCAGACAGACACCGAGATTAGATCTGTTCCTTGAAAACAGCATCCCAATTGAAAGATGGAAGTTCAAGGGTGGATAGGGGAGATGGGGGACAATTCGGGGCCATTGCAGGGACCCAGCAAGAGGCAGGCCAGGTCTAGACACCAGGAGAAGGGCTGGGGAAGCATACGACTTGACTGACTGGGTGTGGAAGGCAATGGAGAGGTGTCAGGAACAGCTTCACTAACGGAGGTGGGGACAGAGCTGGGCATCCCCCAGGGTCCTGAGAGCCACGCAGACATGAGGCCCCGGGGAATGCGGGTTCCAAGGACAAGTGAGACATCCACAGGAACGAGGGACCAGGCACTTGGGAGTGGTGGAGATGAGAAAGAAGGGGAGAAGACCTGCTCCCCCAGGTGGGGTCCTGGACTGCGGAGTCCTTTGGGAGAGGTGGTGTTTCTCAGGCGCTTGAGGACCAGGGGGAGGTGGGTGGCAGGTATTTCAGATAGGGGAAGCTGCAGAGACAGGGGTGGAGGGAGGCAGCCAGGTCCTGTGGGAACCTGAAAGGATCTAGGGTGGTGTGGGGAGAAGCTGTAAGAGGGGACTGGAGGGCCCAGTGGCCGGGTAGGCTGGGCTGAGGGCCATCTACGGCCAAGAGCAGCAGCGTGGGTCCCCTGCCCGCTTGCGTGCCCTTCTCCTAGCCACCTGGGTGAGCCTCTCCCGGCTCCCTCCCACACCCGCTTCAGAGAACTATCACAGCTTCTGGTGCGGCCTCATGCCCTCAAGGTGGCATAGTCTTCCTCATAGACAACTGAACACTGAAGTCCAGACACACGGTCTTCCTTCGGGCTACCGTGCTGCAGAGCTCCCGGTGGTTTGAGGCGGGGAGGGAACACAACTGTAACCAAGTCTTCACTCAGCCTCCCCTGCTTCCTTAACTCCTCAGGGACCCACCTAAGAGCAATCCCCCCGGGGGACACAGTCCCCACCTCAGGCTCTGCTTCTAGGGAACAAGACCCAAGGTGACGTGGGAGACCACGCAGTCAGACACCCAAAAACTGCATGCACACCTCCCTCTGAGGCATCCCCAGGGCCTGAAAACCCAGCAAGTCAGCTCCGGGTGAGGAACCCAGCCTGAAGTCTGGCAATTAGAAAACGTTACGCGCAGCGCGACTGTGGCCCTTTACCTCCCCTCAGCGCATGTCTGGGGAGGAGCCTACAATCTCTAAGGGCTTGAGGGGGGCTGTGGGGACCTACCCACAAGGGATGAGGTGGCCAGGGCAGCCACGCTGTAGTTGCTGGTGCAGGCTCTAGAGTCAGATACGTAGCCGTTGGTGGTCTGGAAGCACCTCTGTAGAAAACAAAAGGATAGTGGGGAAGGACAGCCAGCCAGAGGACGCTGCCCCCCGCCCCCCGCGCGCGCACCCCTGCAGACCATTGTTACCACCCACTCATCCTTAGGTGGTGGCCAGGGACCAGGCATAGAAAGGTAGGGAGATCCTATCCATTCCCACAAGACGTCCCTCCCTGGGCTGGCAGGACTGCGGGAGAGCAAGCACACTGACCTGCCAGGGATCCCAACAGAAGTCCATCTGCTTGTCCTGAAGCAAGAGGAGAAAGGGGAGCAGTCAGGGCTGGGGCGTCATGGCCAAGTCCTGCAGCGTAGGGTGCTCCACCTTGTGGTGCTCTGAGAGACAGATCAAGGTCTACCCCTGCCCTGCTGGCCCCGAGCACCCAGAAAAGGAAGTGGGATACAGTGGCCTTGGGAGGAGAGGGGATTGGTGCAGATAATAGGTCTGACCTAGGCCAGAGTATACTTTCACTATTTCCTGTTACCTGGAGACTAGGGACTTTTTATTTTTTTTTTTTATTTTTTATTTATTTTTTTTTTTTTTTTTTTTGGTTTTTCGAGACAGGGTTTCTCTGTGTAGCTTTGCGCCTTTCCTGGGACTCACTTGGTAGCCCAGGCTGGCCTCGAACTCACAGAGATCCGCCTGGCTCTGCCTCCCGAGTGCTGGGATTAAAGGCGTGCGCCACCACCGCCCGGCCGACTAGGGACTTTTTAAATTGCATGTGTGTGTGTGTGTGTGTGTGTGTGTGTGTGTAGGTGCCTGCCTCTGTGTGTGTGTCTGCGTGTGTCTCTGTGTGTGTCTGTGTGCCTGTGTGTCTGTGCACATGAGTGCAGGTGCCCGAAGAGGCCAGAAAAGCTGGAGCTGGAGTTATAGGTGGTTGTGATCTACCCAGTGTGGGTGCTGGGAACCGAACTCAGGTCCTCTGTAAGAGCAATACATTCTCTCTTTTTTTTTTTTTTTTTGAGCTGAGGATCGAACCCAGGGCCTCGCGCTTGCTAGGCAAACTCTCTACCACTGAGCTAAATCCCCAACCCGCAACACATTCTCTTAATCACTGAACTATCTATCTTTCAAGCTTGAGACTAGAGACTTAACCCAGAAAGAGAATTTTTTTTTTCTGAAAAATGGTGATGTTGCCATTTGCAACAGGCGGTGGTAAAGCGTCACCAGCATAATTCAGGCTCAGGCTCAGGCTCAATGTGCTTACAAAACAATGACCTAGCTAGCATGGTGGCGCACACCTTTGATCCCAGCACTCGGGAGGCAGAGACAGGAGGATCTCTGTGAGTTCAAGGACAGCCTGTCCTAACTGGTGAGTTCCAGACCAGCCAGTCTGACACAGTGAAACGCTGTCTCAAAAAATAAATAAATAATAATGATGATGAAACAAAAAATAAAAAAGCAGCATCTTGAGGCTAGAGAGATGGCTCAGTAGTTGAGAGCATTTGTTGTTTTTCCAGAGGACCTGGGTTCAGTTCCCAGCACCCAAAAGGCAGCTCACAATCATCTGTACCTCCAGTCCCAGGGGATCCAATGCCCCCTTCTGGTCTCCACAGGTACTGCACACAAGTGGTGAACACAGACCCATGAAGGCAAACACTCATACACATAAATTAAAAATAAATAAATCTTAAAGAATCAATTGGCAGGTTCAAGCCACATCCCTGGGCAAATACGGAAATTATGTACTGGGGTCCCTTGATACACCAGGACTCTTCACTACACCAGAACCCCTTGCTACATACACCTTCCTGATCTATGTGGAGAACCCCCTGCTTTCACTCTCGAGAAGCTGTTGCCAGTTGCTAAGCAGTTCTGGGCTCGTAGCAGAACCTGCCATCTACAAGGCTGAGTTCACGTGGACAGAAGACCTTTGGGATGGTATTGTGTTTTCTAGATAAGTTCGGCTCAGTCCCTGATACCCAGCCCAGTGCAGACCCTCATCCAGCTGAACTCTAAGCCCTTAGGTGCCCCTAGTGCCCAGAGAGAAATTGGAGTTGGCAAGGAAGAAGGGAACTGAGAATGGTTTCTGCTTGCCTTAGGGAGATAAAAGAGGAGCTGGAGCCAGGGCAGGCAGGAGGAGGGTGATGAATGGCCAATTACCTTGCCAGCGACATGATCTGGAACAGTGGCAGGTGGATAGCTGGAGGGCAGATCCCGATTCAGGAGGTCTGTGCCCTGGGGCCTGGGGCAGTCTTTGTGGGCACTTGTGAACAGATCTGGAAGTAAAACGACAGGAGAAATTAAAACAAAAACAAACCCTAACTTACCCATAGCAATAAGGCAGGAAGAGGAAATAGGGGCATCTGAACTGAAAAGGAGGAAGTCAAGCTATCCCTGTTTTACATGTAGAAAAACTAAAGACAGCTGAGCAGTGGTGGCGCACACCTTTAATCCCAGCATTTGGGAGGCAGAGGCAGGTGGATCTATGTGAGTTTGAAGCCAGCCTGGTCTACAGAGCAAGTTCCAGGATAGACAGAACTGTCACACAGAGAAACCCTGTCTCGAAAAAACCAAAGAGGAAAGAACGAAAAAAGAAAAACTAAAGATTCTGCCAAAAAAAAAAAAAAATAGTTGAACTGAAAAACTTGTTATGCCCGAATCATGAGCCCCCAGAGATCACCAGGAATCTCAGTTTATATGCAAAAGTGAAGAGCCTTTATTGCAAGCTCGAGCTTGGGCTCTCCACCTGTTCTGACACAGTAGTTGGATCAGGGAGAGCCCTGAGATCAGTTATGGCAGGGTTTTTAAGAAGTAAAGGATGGAGTGGGGGAGGTAGGGGAATTCCAGATTCAGATGGGGGTTGAACTGATTGGGCAGGAGCGGGGCACAGAAGTCTCGTCAAACAGGGATCGGTACTGGCGTTGCTGCAAGGAAATTGGCGACCTATATACAAGTGATGTAAGCTATCCTTAATGTTCTGGAGCATCTAGTACTTGTTTGTCTCGATTCTGATTGGTCTCCCGCAGGGTAGTTTGTGGCTTTTTCTGGTTATTGTAATGGTGAGGCCTAGTCCCAATATTGTTAGTCTATAGACTGTCATGACTATACTAGTGTTAAGCCTCTTCAAAACTAATCAGTAAAGATGCAGTATACAAAATTAACATACAAAAACAGTAGTATAGTCAAGTGTGGGTTATAATTCACACCCAAGGTCTCAACTATGAGGGCAAAGTAGGAGAATCATTGAATCCCAGGAGTTGGAGACCAGCCTCGGATACAAAGGATCTTATTGATTGTATACTTAAAAAGAAAGAAAAAAAGAAAGAAAAGGTTGGTGTTGGAGACATAGCTCAGAGGGTGGAGTATTTGCCTAACACGTATGAAGTCCTGGGTTCAATGTTCAGCACGCATCTGTAATCCCAGCACTCTGGAGGTGAAGACAGGAGGAGCAGAAGTTCAAGGTCATCCCTGGATATGTAGCAAGTTTGAGGCTAGCCTCAGCTACATAAGACTTTATCTCTTAAAAAAAAAAAAAAAAAAAAGAAAGAAAAGAAAGAAAGAAAAGCCGGGTAGTGGTGGCGCACGCCTTTAATCCCAACACTTGGAAGGCAGAGGCAGGTGGATCTCTGTGAGTTCAAGGCCAGCCTGGTCTACAGAGCAAGTTCCAGGACTTGAAGTCAGAGCTACACGGAGAGACTCTGTCTTGAAAAACCAAGACTTTATCTCTAAATTAATAAATAAAATCAACAAATAAATGAAAAACTTCTGATTCTTTCTCCTCTTCTTCCTCCATCTTTGAGACAGAGGTTTTCTATGTAGCCCAGGCTATCTTTGAACTTCCTGCCTCAGCCTGCTAAGCAGCTGGCACTATAGGTCTGTGCCAATGTGCCCACTATTGTAATTATTTTTTACTTTATAATTTTTTTGAGACAGGCTCTCACTATGTAGCCCTGGCCAGCCTGGAACTTTCTAGGTAGATCAGGCTGGACTTGAACTCACAGAGATCTACCTGACACTGTCTCCCAAGTGCTGGGATTAAAGGTGTGTGCCACCACACTAGTATAATTTTTTTTAATTAAAAAAAAATGTTTTTGAGGATCTAGAGTGGAGTGTGGCTGGACTTCCCCAGACAAGTCAGAAGAGCTGGGTTCTGTCTCCAGTCACACTCCACTCCAGACCCCAACAGGTCAGGGGAGAAAGGGGTCCTCAGAGCTCACAGCGCAGGCACAGCCAGCCTGGCTGGAGGAAGGGAGATGAGGACAGGCTTGCACTCAAGGTGAGGGTTTTCAGCCAAATTACATCCTGAAAGAGGCCAGAGGATCTGGGACCTGCCCCAAGGCTGGAATGCATGGGCCAAGGCCGGGAGGCTGGAGCCAGGCTGTCTGGGACGCTATAGGAGAGGAGGGCAAGGTGAGAGTCAGTGTCCTCTCCTGCCCCAAAGTGACCCAGACATGAGGAGGGCAGGGCACAGAGGACCGCGTGGGTTCTGAGAGTGAGGGCTGAACCGTGTGCGCGTCCTCTGCCATCCCCAGCACAGCCTGCTGCGTGCCAATCCTGGCTGTGTGACCCCGAGTTAATGTTGCTCTTGTCTGGGCTCCAGTACCTCCCAACTCTACAAAGGAAGGACTCAGTGGTCATTCAGGGGCCACGTCCTTCAGTGGTCATGCAAGCCGTTCATCGGGTTTGTTTTTCATTTATTTACTGCTTACTTACTTCTTCTTTATCTGAATGATCTCCAGCCGGAGATCAAAACTGGGGCCGTATGCATGCTGGGAAGTGTTCTACCACTGAACTACATCTTTTCACCAGAGCTATTTAAAAAATAAAATAAGTCCTGAATAGAATAGGCTGGAAAGCATCAGAGCCAGAGGCACCCCGAGATTCATTCAGTCCTGTGTCATGAAGCTTCTGTGTGTCACACGCACACAGGCATTTACTCACACGAGTGCTCGCACATGCGTGTGTGTGTGTATGTGTGAATTCACACAGGTGAGAATTTTCTAGGTGTGCACAACACTGGATCAAAATGTACAATATATTTGTTCCTATAGGTCTGTCTTACTTTTCTATTGTGGTACTAAGATACCATGATTAAGGCAACTTATAGAAGAAACAGTTAAGTGGGAGATGATGGTTTCAGAGGGTGAGTCCATGACCATCATGGTGGAGAGCACGGCAACAGGCAGGCAGGTATGGCACTGCCACCATGGCTGAGAGCTCACATCCTGATCCACAAGCACAAAGCCGAGAGAGAGAGAGAGAGAGAGAGAGAGAGAGAGAGAGAGAGAGAGAGAGAGAGGGAGGAGAGAGAATTGAAACCTCCAAGCCTATCCCCAATGACACGCCTCCTCCAGCAAGGCCACACCTCCTAATCCTTCCCAAACAGTTCCACTAACTAGGGACCAAGTATTCAGATAGATGAGGGCATTCTATGGGGGCATTCTCATTCACCACAAGGTTCAAAAATAACAGTTTGAAAGCTCAACCAGCAAGATGTCTCAGTGGGTTAAAGGTGCCTGCTGCCAAGCCCGCTGATCTGGGTTCCATCCCAGGGAGCCATAGGTGACAGGCGAGAGCTGACTCCCAGTTTGTCTATGACCATCACACATGTAATGTCACATGCACACACCCACACACAAACACACAACAGACAAGTAAATATAAAAAAGAAGAAAATTAGGGGCTGGAGAGGTAGCCTAGTGTTTAAGAGCCCTGGCTGCTCTCCCAGAGGACCTGGGTTCGATTCCCAGCACCTACATGGCAACTCACAACCACCTGTAACTCCAATTCCAGGGTATCTAATGTCCTTCCCTGGCCTCTATGGGCACTAGAGACAGACAGGATGTGCAGGCATACATGCAAGCAAAACACATATAATTTTTTTTCTTTTTTCTTTCCTTTTTTTTTTTTTGTTTTTTTGAGACAGGGTTTCTCTGTGTAACTTTGGTGGCTGTCCTGGATCTCTCTGTAGACCAGACTGTCCTCAAACTCACAGAGATCTGCCTGGCTCTGCCTCCTGAGTACTGGGATTAAAGGTGTGCGCCACCACTGTCAGCTTTTTCAAATTATTTAAATTTTTTTAAAGTTTGAAAGCTGTGACTAGAGCTCATGATTCATGCTGTGACCCAGCACTGGGGACTG